GGGAACCATAAAATACACACACAAACAAACATCACACCTCACACTTTTATTGAATTAGATAATTGAAATGGGGGTTTCTTTGATTTCACTTGTCAACAGTGAATAGTAATGAGATGTGTAGAACAAAAAAGCAAGGAATATAGTCTCACTTTGCTAAGACAATTGGATTATAGAAAGATTACCTAACCATATGCTGCCCAACATTTTAGGATTCTCTGTTTTTTGTCAAAGCAGATCTGGCAAAGAAGCATGTTTTCTGTTTTGCTCCAAGAAATGATAAACTTCACTTCAGCATTTATTATGCACAATGTATGCAAAATGCAATGAGTCAACCAACTCACACTTTTGTGTTAAGCAAATACAATCTAAACATAAGAAAATGTCATGTCTAGTAAAATGTGCCACAAAGGCCAAGATAAGAAAATGAGTAGCTAAAATATGCAATTAGCACATTCACTGAAGAAAACCAGGAGGATATTGAGATGAGCCATATAAATATAATTCTATGCTTTTGGCTAAGAATAACATTACATTTATAGGAAAATTTAGGCTCACATTTAGAGAGAAGTTCTCCATTTGATAAAGAATGAAAGAGAAAGCATCTATGAAGACAGTCATATAAAAGGCAGTCATATAGAAGTGTCAAATGTGATCTTTTTTTTTTAAGAATGGGAGCATATGCTTCATGATTTTTTTCATGTTTCAAAAAGTGATTGGGCTGGGGATATGGCTCAAGCAGTAATACACATGCCTGGCACGTGTGGGGTACTGGGTTCGATCCTCAGCACCATATAAAAATAAAAAAATAAAGATGTTGTGTCCACCTAAAACTAAAAATAAATAAATAAATATTTAAAAAATTATCTCTCTAAAAAAGTTATCATATTCTTTTCCAATATTTGAGAAAATATTATTCAGTATTACAACACTTAATAATTTGTAGAAACATACTTTCTACATAAAGGCATAAAAATTGATCAACTTTTTCTCCTACTATAGTGGAATGTGTGTGTTTATTTATGGATAGATTTTTTAATATATTTTTTTAGCTTGGATGCTAAGCTTCTTTCAATCAGTGTACACAGAACCAAATTTACTGCTTTATCTAAGTGGCAAATTAGATTATGAAACACATAGAGTTCAGATAGTTAGGTTACTAATGCTAAAAGATTACTACAAATAGTCAATTATTCCAAGAAATTAATGGTTCTGTTTGTTGAGATATCATCAGAAACTACCATGACAACAGAGGATTACTTCTCAAGAGGTCAGACTCAAGTGTGACAAGATAATAGGAACATGGAAACAGTGGCAGCAGCCTCGGAGGACTTTTTTAAAATGTTAAAGTCACCTGAAGGAAAAGGATGGAAGATAATGTTTTCTACAGTCAGCTCTATATACGAAATAAAAAGTAATCAGCCTATTTCAGTAGTTCTTGGGCTTTTGGGATTAGAATCACCACCCCTGACGGTGATTGCCACATGATAACATCAGCAGTATAACCACGTCCCAGAGCCTACAGAAGCAGTGATGACTGAGGAGTCATCACTGAATTCAAGCAGTGACTCTCTAGTACTGGGCCTCTACTTACAAATCACTGATGATTGCAGATAAATACCTTCTTAAATACTCAATTGTCAAAGATCAGAATTTACCAAGTAACCCCTCTATGTTACTTTGAAGCTGGCATGGAAACACACCAACCAGTTTTTACTTCTTTCTTTCATCAAGTCCTAACCTGCTCCAGTGCAAACTGTAGAAACCCTTTTTGCTCCATTTCCCTTCTTACAGACATTGCAGTGACCATATGTATCTTTAGTTAAATCCAACTAACTAAAGCAGCACACCTGGGAAACATTTGTGGTGCATCCCCATATGCCCCAACATGCCAGTGAAGGGCAACTGATTCATTGGATCATTTCACGCACATAAGAAGCAAACAAAAAGTTTGACAAACATGACCTGCAACAGTGTAAAACAAAAACAAAAAGAAAACAGTCAACAAGCACCCTAGTTGGCACCAGTTTGGAGAAAGAAAAGGCATTTGGAGGGCAAGATAAAATATGATTTCAAATTTGAAACACTCATGTTGGGTTCTTCATTCTGTATTTTCTTTTAATTGACACTGGAGCATATTCAAATGTTTGTTGTTCATGTGTATTTATATGGTGGAAGGGTGCCATCTGTGAGCTTTGAGATGATCATGACAGCTGTTTTTTTTCTAGTTTATTAATATTTTCCAAGTATATTCCATAAAATTATTTGCTCAGGAGGAATTGAGAAACTGGATGTAATTCCCTATTTAGATCTTTGTATTTGATATGAATTTGAGTTCTACAGGTATTAGTAATGCAGCCTTGGTCAAGGATGCTTAATTGAGGCCTTAATTTTCAAATTTGTAAAATGTGGTTAACTAATACAGACGTATTAGGTAAGATAAAATGTGAAAAACACTTAGTACAATGGCTGCAAATAGTAAGTGCTCAGTAAGTACAATTTGTTTTTATCAGGCTCCTAATTTTTGCTATATCCAGGCATTTAAACCATAAAATGGTAAAGCAAATGTAAAAATCAATCAAAGAAAGACACATCTCTGAAGATCACCTGGTGACAAAATTCAAGATATGACACATACTGAGAAGCTTAATTTAGCAGGATAATTGTGAATAACTTCCAGGAAATAGTCTAAAAAAGAATATACATATAATAATTATTCTGTATAAAATGATCTGCTATTTAATCTGAGATATAGGGGTGCCAAGCATATGAATTTGTTCCTTCAGTCCTTCTTTGAAATGTTTCTATAACATACAAAACAGTGAGGGAAATAGGCCATGGGAGTCTCATGTTTATCTGAAACAAAATTAAGAAAATCTGTTAGAATTGCTTTTCATTATTGAGTATGTTTTCATAATCCTCTATTTTCTGTGTCCAGATCTATACAGTAAAATAGCTTTATCAATGGCATTTTATATACCAAAAGGACTTGGAACACAGGCAGATGTTCCAAAGAAGAACAAAGGTAATGTTAATGAGAGATAGTGAAATAAAGATAAAATCTTTGAATATTTGAGAAAACAAAATAGAATGAACTGGTACTTGCTGAGAGAAGTAGGGTAAACATGACATAATAGTATTCAGAAAGCCTTCCTGGACTGCAGCAACACTGAAAGCAGTGCACAGCAAGGCCCCTGACATTCCGTCAGGTGTCAGACTGGCCCAAGGGTGAGCTTCATTTAGAATTTAATTGCAAGAGTTTTTTCTCAGGTCATTGAATGTTACCTTGAGTCCATCTTTTACTTACAGACTATGGGGGAAACATCAATTTCAAAGTTGATCTTTCATTTTCTGAGGGAAGATTGAAGCTTGCAAAGTAAAATGTCACAGTCTCTCTTGGACAATGGCAGACAGCACTTGTTAAAGTTTACTCTCCAATAAAAAATAGTGATTCAACAAAATTAGCAATCCTTTAAATCAGAATGAAACTTTACTATGTTCTCTCATGTCAATATTAGGAATCATTGCAATAAAATTCACAATTCAAATGTTTAAGCTTAAAGCAAAAAATAAAATAGAAATACACTCTTTCTGAAGATCCATCCTGACATAAATCTGGTTATTTTCAAAACATCATTAGTCTAAAATTAGCACATGTGTAATTTCCAAATGCAAAGATATGCAAATAACCTTGCATATTTTAGCTTCTAGGATTGAGACACAAATCTGTCTCTGTGGTTTTATTAGTAATAATTTATATAAATTTAACAAAATCACTCTGCACAATTTTTGACAGAGTCATAGAAATTAAAATTTTAGAGTTACAGTTTTTTAGAAAGTACAAATGCAACCTTCTTATGAGTAAACAGAGCTGTGGTCATCCAAGGTGGGTGCCTGAGTTATCCCATACTGTAGTTATTTATTTACCTTCACCTGGATTCATAAAAATGCAATTTAATCTACCATGAAAATTATATTCTATTGAAACAGCACTATAATCTGAAAAAAATATGGTTAACTTGATCCAAGTTAAGGCAAAGGGCAAAAAGGAACGGAGCTTTGCACAGTTCAATCTGCAAGCTGTTGGGGATTCTTTCATTTGGCTTTCCTTCCTTCATGCCACAAGCAGTGAGCTCTATATGTGGAGAAAACCATAGTTATCATTTTAACTCATTTGAGATAAAGATAATTTTTTCCCAAGAAAGATAGAGTACCCCCTGTATGTTATGGATTGATCAATAATATAGGAGCAAACTGAGTTTCTGCAGAGTTTTACAAGTCCAGGCATTAATAATGAAAATGATTTAAAACAAACTGAGCTATTGGGAAAAGGCAAACATTTAAGAGTCTAGGCTAGATTTGTAACTCAATATTTATTAGTTACATGTTGGCTGAGGTTGGGTTCCCCTGAAACTCGAGACCCAAGTAGTACTAGACATGCTAGTGTCTTATTTGGAGATCAATCCCAGGTGCACCAGTGGAGAAGTCAATATATGATACAATTAATGAGGGGTCTCTGGATAATTCATGAACTACCTGGCTTACATGGATAGTTCATGTCTATCTGAAATACAGAACTTTCAATATCACACTCATTTTCAGTACATTAAGACACTCATCTTATAGGGCCTTCACCTTTAGGGACACAGGGAATGGAAGGTTCCCTTTTCTCATCTCCTACTCATACTCACTGAAAGGAATGGCAAGTGAAATCATTAATGCAATTTCAATTTTGTGCCAAATACATATATAGAGAATTTAGACAAGTTATAGTTAGAATGCATAGTCTAATAAAGCTCGAAAGTCTCAAGGGAAATGTGCATGCAAGATACACCTACCATTCAGTGTTCTCTGTCATGGGGAAAGTGACACTGTCCAGTACATGGAGCTGCAGTGTAAAAAAAAAAAAAAACCAGCTTACTCAGCTCAGGACACACATGTAGACCACTTCTGCCCATGAGAGGGCTGCTGCAAGGTGCTCCTGGTGAGAGCTGTTGCTTGAGCTGTGCTCACCCATGGAGAAGGACTTGTATGTAGCCTCTCACCATCTTTTCCCTCTTTCCTTTTATAGCTAAAAGTGGGACAGAAACAAGACCTACTGGCTGAGCGAGGAAGCTAGAGCAGAATGTAAGGTATGGGAACAGCCCCCTTGAACTTATTGAAGGTCATGGATCATTTCTCAGATCAGTATCTACACAGGCCACCAAGCAAACAGTCCTCTCAGTTGCTCCAACAGTTCAGACAGAACAAAAGAGTCCAAGCTCCTTCCAGATAAAGCAACAAGTTCCGTTTGCTTTCCAGAGTGAAGAATCACTCATACCTAAATACACCACCAAATTAACACTTATCTTTGTGCCCATCTGGGCCATTCTGGAATGTTCTACTGAATCAAAAACCTACCAGTCAACCCTACATATAAAAACACGACTCTTTACAAACAAAATAGTGTTTTAAAAACAGAAACAAAGCACTATTTAACATCTCCAAATGCCTGCTAAGACCATGTATTCACATTCCATAAAAATTAATATAGCTCTCTATTGACAAGAAATTTCTTAAGAGAAAAGCAAGTTTCATACTTATAAGTGGGGAATGAACTAAAAATCTCATTAACACACTTTATGGAAATAAGAGTAACCAAAACAAATACAAATAAACAATGCATTATTGTTAATACTCTCTCTTAAGGTCATGAGAAGAACAAAATTTTATTTGAAAACTTAATTGGGCACCTAGTGAAGTTATTGCTGCTCTACAGGCACTGTGGAAGATAGAAACAAAGGTAAATTGAACAGTTTCTATCCTACTTCATCCCTCCCCCTTTAAGAAGCTTAAAGTCTACAAGAGCCTTAAGCCAGCATCTCACCATAAGGAAACCCATAGGAAGAACACTAACTCTTGTCAGCAAAATAGATGAAGAAGTCTTAACAGGTTAATGACAAGAAGTTCATCAAATGTTCCTGTGAGGAGAAGTGTAACTGATCAATCATATATTTATCCGAATATATACAATGGCTTTAAGTAATTGCATTCACTTGATGAGAAAGAAAACACAAGACAATAATAGAGGAGCAGGAGAGATTTTGCTATTACAAGCACATAAAGGTATGATTGAGAATGGTTTGACTACTCACTGTTTTTCTTGTACCTCAGAATTTCATAGGAATTCATCTCATATTTCTCAAAGGTTTGCCACACCTTTTCAATTGTGTCTTTATGAGTCAGCTCCCCATACATAAACCTGCAAATCAACCGAAGAGCTCAAGTTAGCAAATCAACAGGTATTTCTTATTCTATAAGCACATGTTAAATATCTGTTCTGTTCCCAAACTCTGTGCTAGGCACTGTGATGTGCACACATATGTGAAAATGTTTGTTGGATCAAAAAGTCTTAGAGATTTAACTGTGAATAAGAATTTCTCACTGTCCAAAAAAACTAAGCCTAATGAGAGACACACATGAAGAAACAACACATCAGAAGAGGATACAATCAGTGCTACAGTGGTGGCACACATAGAATAGGCAAAGATCATGCTTCAGTTGGTGAAAGAAAACTGCCAAAATTTAAGGACACATGAGATCCAAAGAATAGAGGGAAAATAACATGAAAGAAGGGAAGAGAAAATTCAAAGCAAAAGATGAGCATGTGAGCTTTAACCAGGAGTCAGGTTAATTCAATAATATAACAGCCCAATATGACTGAAGGTAGGCATGGAAGGGGAAATCTGCTATAGATAATACAGAGAAGCAAGCAGAGGACAGATGAAGGAGGAGACTATGGCATTAGAAGCCATGCAAGGCAATTCAAAGTTTATCCTGAAAGCAACTGGAGGACATGAAAGGTTTTAATCAAAGGAGAAACTTAATCATATTTCATTTTAGAAATGTAAATCTGGAAGAATTCTGATAAAAATGGCCAAGTAAATATGGACTAAGATATTCCCTCTTCTAGTTCCTAATAAAATAAACAAAAAATTAAAAGAGGGGCAGGGAGACAAAAAAAATATTCACCCACTAAACAAGAAAGTGGCTGCAATTGGATGCTGTAAACATTAAGACACAGCTAAGGAAAGAAACAAGATTCAGTCACTGTCTGTGCAGCAACTTTTCCTGTCCCTGCCCCACCAAACAGAAAAGAAAAACAGCATTGGGTTAAAAATAATGTTGACAGCATAAAATCCTACATGTTATTAATAATATATTTCCCTGATGCTCAAGTTTAGAGACAAGTAGCCTAAGGGGGTAAATACAGAACATGAAACAAGAGAGAGAGAGAGAGAGAGAGAGAGAGAGAGAGAGAGAGAGAGAGAGAGAGAGAAGAGCTAGAGAAAACCAGAGCTTTACTGACTAATGCTAGTTCTTAGCAGAGGCAGAAAAATTGCCAGGACTGTCCATTTTTCTGGTCCTACACTAAATATGGTCTGAATACCAGAACTTATCCATGCAGGAACAGAATAGTCCCTCAACTCAGTAGAATGAACCTTTTCACTGGACACTAACAGAATGCAAGAGGAGGGGCCATCTCTCAAGGGAGCTGGAAGCCCAGCTTCCAGATGAAGGATGCTCAAGGTTTCCTGTAAGCATTTTCCCTTCCCACCCCAGGTCTCAGGCAACAATGATAAGGAAGGACAGCTCTGGTCAATCCTCCAAGTCTTAAGTAATGCAGAAATGGTGATATGGGTTCCCAAAACATACATGTCCCAAAGAAACTCAGAGCTTATCTGATCTAAAACAGTCAAGTCAAGCACTATACTTAGCTTGACACTGGAACGACTTTAGACTTACTATAGGCTTCTGAATTCTGGCACCCTAGTTGCTGATTTTATGAATTCTGTGTCATTTTATGAATACTTTTTTTTTATTTCACTCTCCAGCCCACTGAGGGACAAGATTATCTGTGGTTGTCTTTGGGCATTACCTCATGTAGCTCTCTGTTTTTAAGTTCTTCTCTTTACTTATGTACTACGAAAAGAGAATATTGACTTTGTTAAACTATCTTTTAAAACAACACTAAATTAGCCCTGAGAACAAGGGAATTTCTCTTTATTTTTCTCTGAGTTAATTTTCTAGATATGTGGCCATCATTTAAGTGAAGCGATGGTACATGTGCTAGCAATTTTCTTCCCAAGTTAACATAAATTGCTGCAAAATTGAGTCTTCATATAGAAGAAGTGCCGTAATTACCTCCAGTTTTCACTGGTCTTGGTTACTCTTTCAAGCAGAGCAGATGTAAATTTCCTTAACCTGAACACTGTATTACAAATATCTACAAAGCAGGAAATAAGCCAAAGAAGTTCCTGAGATATCAGGAACATAGCTAGTACAAAGGTTTTTGTATTCTTATAGTAGGGGCCATTCAGGTAATTAAAGTTGTTTTGAATTGTGCATAAAAGTTTGCTAGATTAGCAAAATATTTTATCTGATTTTTGAAAGTATTTATACTCAATAAGAAGGAAGAAAGATAAGAAAAAGTTGTTCAATTTACACCAAAAAAATGAAGCTAATCTTCTCGATTTATTGATTGTACATACGAAGTACAGATGCAGATATAGATGCAGATATATAAATCTATAGATACTTAAGAGGAAACCAGCACAGAAAGAATATAACAGCATTCTATTTTTTTAGAGTCATAATTTCTAAACCTCTGAGAAGTGGGGAGAAAATCTTAAATTTTCCATTGCTCAGTCTTCACAGTATAAAATTTAAGAAAATTAAAATACTTCCAAACATTTCATGTTTTTCACCAAACTTTTTATTTGTCTGATTTAATACATGAAAATGTAACTTCTGAGAACAGATGAGTATGTATGAACAGACAGGCTTCTCCACCCTTCATAGATGAGTTTATTTCTGAATTTGGCAGGTGTGGGAAATAGTTCCACTTCATGCAAACAGTGCTGAAGAGAAAAGGCTGAAGAAGGAGAAAAAGAGGAGCCTGAGGCTATGCTGTACCAAGACCATGGCAGGGCACAGCAGAGGAATGTCTGGCAGGATCCAGGCTACATGCCCAGCTCAACACCTTGAAGATGCTTTGAAAGGATTTTCCCAATGCCCAGGCCCAAGGGGAGTCCTCAAATACATAATATTTGCCATTAGCACAATTTGCTAAGAGAACAGAAAGAGAGGTCTAACAAAGCCACAAAATACTGGTTCTCTTCTCTTTTTCTGAAATAAAGAATTTTAGCTGAGAAAAAAAAAAACTCTTTAAAAAAGGCTCTTCTCTAAAATGTTCATAAATCTTAAAACTAATCCAATCATCTAAATTTTCTTTTCATTTTCATTTACTTTTATTTGATATGTTCTTCAAACTTATTCAATATAAAACTTCATAAGCTTCTGAGTTCACATTTTTTTAAATAGATAAAGCTTTCCCAAGCTTTTCTAAATTTCTCCCCATCTTACTGACTACAAATTTGTCAGTTGTAGCCACCATGCTACAACTGACATAGGCTTGGATTTTCTCAGCACATTCACGAATGAGAGAACATATTGCAATAAAAATTCTTCAATAAAAATGGAATGAGGGGAGCTCCCTGTGTGAGTGGGTGGAGGTAAGTCCCTGCTCAGAGCAAGCCCTGGGCTGTCAGTGCTCCAACCCTCCGTGGTCTGCTTCTGCTGCCCTGAGCGCCCCTGCGCTCTTCCCCCGGCTCTCTCCCAGCTGTAGCATGTCCACCACTGTGGCCCTGTAGCGCTGTTGCTTCCTGCCTCGCCTCTTTGTCTTGGCTATTCTTGTTCGTGTCCCTGGGCTTTTCATGGGCGCGCTGTCTGCTGTTGGCTTCTCTGCTGTTGCTGCTATGGTGGCCTTGCACTTTCCCCTGTGCCTTACCTAGAACTTGTAGCCACCCCCCCCTCCCCGCACCTTAGGCCATGTGGTTTCAATCAGAGCAGTGCTTCAGTAGGCTGTCAAAACACAGCATCTCCAATCTGAGTGTGTGTAAAGAGATGGAGGCAGGAGTGGTGAAGTGAGAGCGCTGGATCTGAATTGACACTCTTCTGTGGCCTAGGACAGTCACTGAAAGACAGAATTCTCTCCTGCACAGCCAGAGAGGACTGGCGGGCTGTACTGCCCCCACTGCATGTAAATTCTCCCTCGGTTGACTCCTCACCACACTGAAAACTTTAGGAAAAATCCTTGTGGTTAACAGCAGAGGCTTCAGAGTGTAATCTATACTCGGGCCTTGAAATTATGATATGTCTCAAGGTGAACTCATCCATCCAAGGCACTCCCACTTATAGTGGGAGCTCAGCTGATCCCCCTGGACAAGATAGGTGAGGTAGAAGATAGCAGCATGCAGATTCATCAACCTGTGAATTCTACCTGGGAAACTCTGCCCAAAAGCAAGCTTGCTGAAAGTAAGGAAGAAAATAATGGAAAGAAGGATTGTGTGGCATAGGTAGTAAATATCTCTCCTTGTTCACAGTTTGGACCACCTCAGCAGAGACAATTCTTTCATTTTTCATTAAGAACTTTTTGTTTTGGGGATGGGGTTATACTTCAATGGTATAGCACTTGCCTAGCATGTATGAGGCACTGGGTTCAATCCTCAGCACCACCTTAAAAAATAATAAAGGTATTGTGTCCATCTTCAAATAAAAAATAATATTTTTTTTTGTTTTTGTTGTAGATGTTGATTCATTCATGTTACATATATATAAAGATATTTTGTTATCATTTTTCTTTTTATTATCTTTTACTCTTTTGTTTTATGGGTGTTTTTTCTTTTTTGGTTTTTTGTTAATTTTCTCAGCTTCTCCCTCTAATAGTTAAATTCTCTTGGTCTCTATCAACCTGTCAATCTACTTTGTTGCATTTTTAAAATTTTGTTATTTTCTCCATTCATTATGGCCTTCACTTTATTCTACCTCTCTTCTACTTTATCTGTTTCACCTTTGGAATATTTTAACCATTCTTTTGACTTCCTTTCTCATTTTCTTCCTTCTTAATTAACTGTATTTTTGCCATCTTTTAAAACTAGTTTATATAATTCTTGCTCCCACCATTCATGATTTTGAAGTTATTAGTACTGTGGATGTTGTAGCTGACATTCAGTGTTTACTTTAATTCTAAATCTAGTTCACTGCTGCTTATGTTGGTGTTTTAATTTCTGATTATTAGTATTGTAGATATCATAATTGACACCTAGTATTTACTTGAATATTGTAGATTCTTCCCTGTTATTGTTGCTGTTCTTCATTTACCCTTTTCCATAGTGGCTGGGCACCAAATGTGACACTTTA